TCATATAATAATTCCCTCTCAAAGAAGATATTTTCAACTTTATATATTTAAAATTAAAAGTTTTTGTGTTTATTAATGTGGGGAAATCGTCAAACCAAAAATGACTTTTAAATCACCTAGTGACTACCATTTGTAAAACAGATTAACACCCTCAATATCACATTATATGTATATGAATTTTATTATGTAGGGGAGCAAAACTCTGCCACTTCAAAATATGTCTTTTTGAGAAGATGTTTATTTCACAAGAGGGATTCAGAAGGTTGGGTAGAGGTTGCTTTGATATTTCTAAGAGTTTTCTCCCAGGAACACTTAACATCCTTATATCTTTTCAAATGGAAAAGACAGAATTAAATGAGCATATTGTTTGCTATGCCTTCTGAACACATCCCTAACTAACCTTCGCTTTTTTTCTCCCACCACTCTCCAAACTATATTGAAGTAGTGAAACTATATGTTTTTTTTTTTAAGTCATTTGGACAAATTACTAAGTAATGCTGAGTCTTTACTGTGTATACAGGCTATATCTATTAATATTAAAATCTGTTTTTAATTTTTTCTCTTATCAAACTGTCTGATGCAGTCTAGAACAAAGAATAATTGCCTTTGCAACCCAGCAATCATAATTTCAATTACATTTTTATTCCAAAGTTTCTAAAAAATTTACAGTTGAAAATAGATATAGAAGTATAGGTTTATAGATATTCCACCAACATAGCACATCACTCTTTCCAATTATGTATTTCCAGTGAATTAAGATACAGTTCCAAAGGAGTATATCTAACAACTCACTGAGCATGTGGATATGAAATTTATGTGAAAAAAAAAATCAGGCAGAGTGTAACTGAATATGTACTATGCAAATTAATAACATTTATAACATACAGAAGATGTTCTCTTGCAAATTTAAATATAAAATAAAACTTTTTATATGGACTTATGCTTCATTTCTTTTCTGTTATGATTTAGAAAGTTCAAGAAACCAGAAACTTTAGATTTATTTAAAATAATATTAAGTCAACAAGCATAACAATAGTTAAAGCAAAAACTTACATAATGTGCTATTAATATCAACTTCACATATATTAACTTATTTAATACTATACAAGGTGTTATTTACAGGGAATATGCACATGAGGACTCACTAAACAGGTCACCCTAACACCCCAGAGTTTGCCCCACTTCAATCCTACAACATTCCAATATTCTTTATGTTAAACTTGTTTTCATCAGTTGTTGCTCTTTGAAACTTACTGCACTGTGAGAGATTATTATTTGGGGGAGAAACAAAAGTTTTTCCTCATTTTTATGCCAGACAGTAAGGAATTATGAAAAAACTTTCATTGCTATCATATGAGTATCATTCTATTTTTTAGTCCAAAGACCAGTTGGGATATAAACAAAGAAAACTATAAATGGAATTTGCCGCAGTCTAGCAAAACATCACAGTTATAAGCAGCAACAATGCTGAGGACCATGTTTATCCCATTTTAGGCACAAATGGCTACCAGGAGTCACAGAGAGTAAGTGTTACATTTCAGTCTTGCACAACTCAACTGTGTGAGCAATGAATGATATTCAAAAACCAGAACAATGGTCATCCTGGTGGCGCAGTGGGTTAAAGCACAGCACTAAGAAGCTAAAACCACTTTTGCATGAGTTCGATCCCCGTGCCCGGTGTTGATCCACATGGCGCGGCAGATCTCTCCTGACCCACCTGCTGCTCCCCTCACCAGTGTACTTTGCCGATCTGCCAGTTCTGCTCCCCACTCTGTCTCTGGTGAAACCCCTCACTGCCCCTGCACCTCTGGCCTGTACCCCAGCTCTGTATGCACAGATAAATGAATCTTAAAAGCAGAAGGCTTATTCTATATATGGAAGCCTAAAATCTAATGTTCAATTTCTATCCATGTTGATGCAACCTTTAACTGATAGGCTAGAATACTTTCACAGAAAAATTAAACAGAGAAAAGCAATGTCCATTACAAGACAATAATGCACATGTAGACCCAACACATACTTTTTTTTTGTGGTAACACAGTGTTCTCAGTATTCATTGCCTACACCAAGCCTTACTATCATGTTTAAGCTTATTTTTATTTTAATATGTCTATAGCTAATGGTATAATGCTACTTTGCTTTTCCACCGCAAATTCTAACTCACCTTTACTTCACAAACATCTGACCAAACAAAATGTCAAATCTTATATAAAGAATTTACCTGAATAGGCCCTACATCAAAGTCTTAGAAGCTGAGAAATGTTTATATGAACTACTTTAGCAAAAAAAAAAAAAAAAAAAATCTCCAGTGGAAAAAATATTGCTTTTGATAGGTATAACCCAAATTTGGAGCATTTTTTTTTCCCCTCAAAGAAGGCAGGATATAGAAATTCAATACAGAGAAGCTATACTTAGCAGCTGTATTGCTTATAGAGCAAACATACAGAAAATAAATAAAATATATTGCTTTTAAAGACAGTTTTCTTCATCATACTATTAACAGTTAAACTTGATTAACATTAGTAAGTAATACAGTAGTGATCATAACTTTCAGATGTGATCTTCCAGGTGCTGCTCTGAATAGATTATATATGCCATTTTCTTATATACTAACAACAATTTATTTTATATAAGGAGAGTGAGTATTGTGATTAAAGACACTTACCCAAGATTTCCATTTCAAACAACTATGCTAGAATTTGTACCTGCATCTGTCAAACATCACTTGAGATAACTATCTTATTTTGCCTTTAAAATGTATTAGCTACTTTTCTTAACCAGAAATGGCATTTGAAGACACAAACATACATATATATTCATACATACTCCTATTTGTTGCATAACTGAATGGAAAGATGACCACTATGGATCTCAGTTTATGGAGAGAATTTACAAAGTTAGAACATCAGAAGAACTTTCAGCTCTGATATATGGGCCCAGGGTAAAACACACACACAAACTAAACAAGATTCACATGTATTAATTCAACTAAGCAAGATGACATGAAATTGGTCAAAGTACAGTTTTCATTAACTTAACAGATTAAAGTTAGCATGTTATTGGCTTGATGTTTGCCAGCTTTGGTAAACACACATATAATGCCAGTAAAAAGGGTTCCAAAAGTTCTGGATGTTTAAGAAAGAACACTAATTAGGAGCAGGAGCTGTACAATATTGGTTATCAAGCCTGAGGGGAGAGGTTTTCAGGATTCCTCCCACTCTACTTGGTTGTTAAAACCAAGTAGTTCACTTAGAGGCTAATTTATTTTTAATTTTATAAATGTGTTCCTATTTTTACTGTTCCTTTGTTATAAGAGAAAATACATTAGAATAGCATAGGTAATCCTATCAGTGTATGCCTCTCAGAAGAAAATCAAATATATCTTAAACTTTCTTTCTTCAATATGAAATGTACTGTTAACTAAACAGGGCTCTTCAAAGCATAAGGATAATTTTCACTCTGATAGACTTCTCAGGAGCATTTCAGGAAAAGAAAAATCAACCAGTCATAATAGATGGAAGGGCTTTTTCAGAAGGGAATAATTTAAGCATTCAACAATTAGTAAAAAAACAGCTGTTGAGAGGAAAAGGTATATCATTTCTATTAAATTTTACCTTTGAGGCAAAATTGACCTACAATATGGTACAAATGATCAGTAATATTTTTTTCCACAAAGTTTCTAGAAATATGAGGGATTAAAGTTAGTACAGAAGGGAGATATTTTATCTTTAAAATATAAAAAGTTTAAATGACTATGTTTTCCTCATCAGTTTTTTGCAACCACTAGTTGGTCTCTTTCCTTATACATTTCCATCCTTGTTATTCAGCCATCAGTTCTTTCAAAGCAGTTTTGATTTTAGCATTGTATAAATTGGAAAATAATGACAAAAGACCAATACCTTTAATAACTTGCTGTTTATATACTAAAATATACCTTTAAAAAAACAAATCAGGCTTCAAAGTCATCCACCAACAAATCCCAGTTCAACCTTTGAAATATTTTACTCTGCCTTATATAGTCTATGATTTAACCTCGCATCCAGTGCTAAATGTCCCTACTCATTTCCAACCCCCAAGCTTCTTATATTCTCCTCTTGAAATGATTCCTTTATCCAAACCTAGCTAACTATCCCATCTGACTAAAAATGCTATTTAGTTCATTCAACAATTTTTCTATATTACAACAATTCAAGTTAAATCTTCCTATTTGAATTGCTCATTCTACTTTATTTTGACCAGTTATCAAGTGATCTCTACCTGAAAATTCATTGTACGTATGTTTTACCAATATTTTCACATTCACTTAAAGATATAATTATACCTAATGTGCTCACAATAGCACACTGTTAAATAGTTCCTATTTGAATAACAACAGTAAGAGCATATTAATCTTTGTGGTGTCAACTCAATTGGATCTTACTCACATTATTTGTTTTTCTATTAGTACCATGAACTTACAGTGTGTCATAAAACTCATTAAATCACACTGGTCTAGAAGTATATACTATTTGCATTGAGTTCTGCCTTTGTACAGAATTGTATATTACAGAAAACAGGAATCTTTAAGCCATAGAGAATTAGATACAAAAATAGTTTTCTGATTTCAAACAGTAAATCTATATACTCTAAGAAAATATCAACTATCTAGAGCTCTTTTTTATTTCTAAAGTTCTGTCAAGCGGGAATATTCGTATTAAGTATCTAATTTCTCATATGAAATACTAACTTTCTTCTTTCCTGTGCCATCTCAGGTACAACTCGATCTCTTCTTACACAGAACATCCTATAACTTTTCTGTACCTCACTTTTCAAGTATCCTACAAAATACAGAATTGAACTGAACACATATGACTTGCATTTAGTGTCATATAATATCTAAACATCTATGAAAACAGTTTATACAATTTTTCAATTTTTTGCCTAAGATAAAAAGCTTTTATTATGCAATGGAGAAAACAGTACTCAACACATCTGATTCTAGATAAGTAGACAACACTTACCGTCACTGTAGCGTTGAGGCAGGTGCTTTACTTCTTTGAGTCTCCATTTTCTTTACCTGCAAAAATGAGGAAATTGGACTAGATCCACTTTTTAAGTTAATTACTTAAAAATAGGCTTATTCTATAAGCTAAATTTTATGGGAGTACAAAAAAATGAAAGCAGAAAAACAATACATATTCTGGATAATACAAAGAATAACTCAAAGTTTGAGTTGCAGAGACCTCATGGAGCATTATGATTATCTAATATGTCATTGTCTAATCCTGTTCACAATGGATATGTAAGATATTACAAATGTTATCCATTTATCTTTCAAGGTATATTTAGATTGTAGCTATGACTTGCCATTTGAGTAGTGCTGCAATTAATATGGAAGTGATCTCTCTGAGATACTGATTTCTTTGAATATATATCTAGAAACAGGATAGTTGAAACATAAGGAAATTCTATTTTAATTTTTTGACAAAACTTCATTCTGTTTTCCTGGCCATGCTGCTGGCTCTTCCATTTCTTTAAATTTTTAAATATTCACTGACAGAAGTCAGGATAAACAAATGTAACACACACCACTAGAATATTAGTCATCCTTAAGAGAGAAGAAAATCTTGCCAACTGTGACAACATGAATAAGATCGGGGAACATTATTTTGTAAGTGGAATTAAATAAGATTCAGAAAAGAAAATACTACATGTTGTTATTTAAGATATGAAATTCAAAATTGTCCATCTCATAAAATCAGAAATTTGATGGTGGTTATCAAGGGCTGGGAGAAGTGGATACAGGGAGATGATCAATGAATATGTTTCAGTTAGCCAGTGTAAATGAGTTCTGGAGATAAATTTAAAACAATGTAACTATTTAACGATATTGTATAGCAGATATAAAATAAGGATAGATCATAAGAATTCTCAACACACACACACCAAAAAATGTTAAATATATCAGGTCACGATTTGTTAATTTGTTTCATTGCAGTGAACACTTCACTTTGCATATACTTATCAAATCATCAAATTGTATATCTTAATACATATAAATTTCATCAAAATATATGTGAAATAAAGCAGCCATTTTTAATATGGAAAAATTACTTGCCAGACTTTAAGCAATCTGTAATCACTGAATATTTGCAAAAGGTATTCTAGAGTTACAAAAGCTGTATAATATGTAATTATATTATCTAATTAGCTGAAAATTACAATGTGAAATTCTTTAATCCTAATTATTAAATAAAAGAAATACATATTGGACTACGAAAGACAAAACAGTTAACACATGAAAGCAATCAGACACTGATATTATGCTTTAAAGACTAAAATTGGCTCACCTCTCATATGGGTAAATTGTTTTCAAATTTTTATTATTACTAAGAATGTGTCAAGACAACAATATTGTAGAATGGCCATGGTGGGAGAGTTTTGCAAGAATTAAACATGTTTTTTGGAGTTAGGTAAGTAGTTTTAACATTTTAACATCACATTTCTGGGGCATTTATGTAACCTGTCTAAACTGCAGCTTATCTGTAAAATGCAAATAATAACATTTATCCCCCTTGCTTTTGTGTCCTTATTTCACGATTACTAAGTAATATCCACTATAAGAAAGCACTAATATTAAGAGCCTAATAAAAATTTGTTCCTTTTTCTTCTTTTATATAATTCCATGACAGATTTAATGTTTTTCAGCATAGAATGTGAAGCAATGTTATCAACTCAACTTTTTTAATGGTCTCTTTCACAGTGGTTTCTAACCTTTGAAGCTGTTAAAATAAAGTCAAATAATGATACTGCTGTGGCATAAGTGTATGCTAGGATCAATAAATTGTGGTTGTTGGAATAAATTGCAATTAAAGGGGGGTAGTACTGCATTGCCTGACAGTAGGTAGTCTTTCTGGCCCAAATAAACTCAAGTATCGGTCTGCTTTATAAGCTAATTAGTATGGACATCACATGCATTTCATTGGGAGGCCATCAGATCATATTGACTTCTGTCTGCATTTTGAGTGTACACTTGACATTTTTGTGTGTCACTTGTAGTTGATGAGTTCTATTTACTTGTTTACTTATAATTTATTACTATATTATATAGCCATCATTTATGATCAAGTAGAATTTCTTCATATAGAAAAATTGAACATGTTTATAAATAAGCACTATAACAGTTCTAAAATTTCAAAACTGCCACTATCCTTTCCTATTTCTATACATTTAAGGAAATTGTGTGCTTAATTTCAGAAATGAGAAAGGTATTAAAATAGTAAAGAATCATGATTATTTAATCTTTACAGCAATAGGTTAGAAAACAAGATACTTTATAAATGATTATTTAAACAATACATAAAAATGAGCAAAATTTTTGTCTCCCAAAAGAAGTGTATGTATTGAACATAAAATTTTGTGTACCCTTAATTCTAGTCAATATACTTTTTTATGTTAATGAATTTCAAAAAATACCTTTAGAATTATCGACTAAATAGGGGACATTCATTGCCTAAAGTGGTTAATTGGGCTGCAATTCCATTAAAACTGACAATGTGTCAGTGTGTTACCCCCCATTATATCTTAATTTATTGTATATATGTTGTTCGAGATTAAATAAATTTTTGTTGAATGAACAAATGAAAAAAGGACACAGCCTCAATATATATACATTTATAAGTCTTTCCAATTTACAGAGCTCTGCCTCACACCTTTTATAAATGCCACATCTGTTAACAACAAAGTCAGAAACATATAAAAATGTCCCTGGTGACACACATCACCTCATCTCATATTTGTGTTAGCTATTTATTTTAAGTTCTACTTAAACCCAACAAATCACCCATCATATGTATTAAAGTCATATTAGGTAACTTTGGTCCCAGCCTGATTTTTCTTTCCTTATGTCCCCTAGAAGGGAACTTTTTTGAAGCTTTATACCAAAAAGACTAATGTTTTGTATTTTTTGTAATGTTTGATATGCTGAATTCCATTCACCCACCATTCCTATCTGAATCATTATCTTTTAAAAAATCTGCCTTGAGGCCCTCCCTGGTGGCGCAGCGGGTTAAAGCACAGCACTGAGAATCTGAAACCACTTCCGCATGAGTTCGATTCCCGCCTGCAGCCTGCCCAGGAGGAGACCACATGGCGAGCCAGACCTCTCCTGACCCGCCCGCTGCTTCCCTCAGCAGTGTACTTCGTAGATCTGCCTGTTCTGCTCCCCGCTCTATCTCTGGTGAAGCCTTTCACCGCCCCTGAGCCTCTGGCCTGTACCCCAGTTCTGTATGAATAAATAAATAAATCTAAAAAAAAAAAAATCTGCCTTGAATTAGTATTCCTTTCCATTCTGATTTTAAAGTGATAAAATGAGAGTTGGGTATTGGAAATGAGAGAATCTTTTCCCTGTGTTTGTTGGGTGATCTGCTGAGTAGGAAAGAGCATCTTGCCTCATTCTCTTTGGTTTGCATTTGCTGATCAATAGTGAAGAGAATGTTCAGGTATAGATCCAAAAGTGAGAGGTCCTACGTCCAAAGTGCATGTTGTTGCATTGGTTTTACAGAACTGTTCCCCTCTGACTGATCTTGGAATTCTTCATAAATCTAATATTAAGTTGTTTGAAATATGGCTATAAAGAGTTAGTGTTCATATGCATCATAACTGCGGTGTTGTTAAGACAAAGCAAATGTTTAAATATGTTTATTAGTTAGCTTGCAAAACCCTATGTCATGGGAGCTAAAGATAATTGTTTTCTCTCTCTTTTCTATATGATGCAGACATTCAACCTTGTACCTTTCTCTCATTTTCACTTTATGAGTGAGATAACCCACTCCTATCCTAGAGCTATTCATTCTATACCTTATCCCTACCTGTCTTTACACTGCATTGTTTTTCACTAGCACTAGTCCAGGACCAATACTGCATTTCATGAGTACATTTCATCATCTAGATAGCTTCTTCCCTCAGATCACTTTTTATGAGGCAATATTAAGATCAGTTTGAGATTCTAAATGTAAATTCTCTAAAATCACCAGTCACACATGATATGCCTATGATCTATGTTCTTCACATGAAATGCTATCTAGATTTTTAAGAACACCAATTAATTTTAGATATGACAAGTGTCAATGATAGGGCAGTTTTTCAGAGAAACCAGAAGGCATTCAGGGAGGTGAAAAGAGAAAGATTTATTTATCACACCAGCAGGCTCTGTGGGATAGTTCCCAAATCTATAGTTTGTATGCAGAACTTTGTATGCTTGAGCGAAAACTGGCAGTGTGGAATATGAGGTAGCTTTGTCAGATTGAGTATATCTGTAAACTTTGAACACCAGAAGGGGGTCAAAATTCCATGGGACATTATTCTAGGCAAGGTGTTCAGCAGTCATTAGTAATGCCTGCTTCATCAGCATTTGGAATGTGCAAAGAAACGTCTATTTATTTAAAACACTGACAAGAGCACGTACTACATGCTGTGAACAACACCCAACCTGCACACATCACAGCTCAGTCCAAATTCTGTCTCTCTGAGCAAAGAATCCTTTGAATCCTTTCAAGAACTATGCTATTGATCAATTATATTACAAAAGAGGAAACTTTTTATTCCTGCATTAAAGATATACCTTCTAGCTTATGCTATTGAAAGTAAAAAGTACTTTATCTCACTCATTGGCATATAGCATGCAGTATATTATTCTTTGTTTTCAAATCTTGCAAATATTTTCTCTAAAAAGAGAAACACAATCACTGCAACTTGGAAAAGCATAAATATACAAATACCTATATCCACAAATGAATATGCACAGATACACACATACATGTACATGTACATATATATATATATATATAAATCTATTTGATATATTGTAGATAAACTTCCACATCCATAAATACTTTTTTTTTTTAGATTTATTTATTTGTGCATACAGAGCTGGGGTACAGGCCAGAGGTAAAGGGGCAGTGAGAGGATTCTCCAGAGACAGAGTGGGGAGCAGAATAGGCAGATCGGCAAAGTACACTGCTGAGGAGAGCAATGGGCGGGTCAGGAGAGGTCTGCCGCACCATGAGGATCACCTCC